CTTGGGATAATTTATTTAATGCCATTAAAATTAAATTAGCAAGCCATTAGAATTAGCAAGAAAAAATATAATTATTAACTTTAGCTAAAAAATTAGTAGCCTTAATATTTTTTAATGAAATAATTACATTAAAATATTTTAATCTTAGCAAGCAGTTTAAGTTTAAAAAAAATTTATACAAATTAAATGTAAGTTCGAAATTAACATTTCTTACAAAATATGTAGAGATTTTAATTCATATATCAACCTCAAATACAACTTAGAAGAGCATAAAACAGAATTATTTAATTTAATTAAACATTGTTAAATGAAAAGAATAGGGAAAAATCAGACTAAGATGTACTTTAAAAACTTAAACAGGTTTTTGAAATATGTTAAGTTTCTTAGCATACATTAATATATTCGACATTGACAAAGGTTAAGTGGTTAATGTAAGTTAGGAGTAAAGTGGCACTTTGGATAACTTAACATATATTTCTTAATATGTGCCAAAACATGTTAAATAACAAATTGAATAGGCTGTAACCATGAAAAATGCTGAAATTCTTTAAAAAAGCTATTTTTCAATATAAAAGGATTTCATGTAAAATTTCTTGACTCTAAAGACTTGAGTTGATTTTTTTTTCTCCAATTTCACTGGAACATGTCTTAACATGTTCTAAGCTCTTCAATTATGAAAGCATTTGAGTTTGTTTTTGCTTAAATTTTTAAAATGCATAGAAGTTGATATAATAAAATCTTATCTATTGATCATTAATTAAACTAATTTTTTAAAGCGAGAAATTATTGAAGATTAACATTAAGTTCAAATATATGAGATTCGAAAATAATTTTTACACTAAAGTTCACGACGATATCTGATGGCATTAATGACTAATTACAACAAAAAATTGCGAATTGAATATGATTTAAAATGGCAAAAGTAATTATAAATTCTAAAAAACTTGTTTTTGTTCAAAATGATAACAATATTCATAGAACTATTTGATTAAAACAATACAATAAGAAAATCTTAAAAGAAACTAAAACTTATGGTCAAGTCAAATTTCAAAATTTATGAATTTTGAGATCAAATTAGAACAAATTGAAAATAGAATGGAATAAAACTAATGAACATTTTACTTTTTACATCAGATCAAAAACAGTTAATTTACATCTGACGAGTTTTGTACTTAGCATGAACTCTCTTTAACAGAATAATAAATAGATCAGAAAAAATTATTTAAAATCACTTTTTTTTAACCGCATATTTTCTAAAAAAATAATTGAGAACAATTATTATAGAACTTCAATATAAAGCTTTACTTTCAGAAACCTGTTGATGTAAACCATTTTTTTTTAAACAGTGGAAATAGATTTTAATCCATTTAATTTTCTGTTAAAACAACGGAAACAATTTCAAGCAACTTATACTTTGTACAATAATAAAGTATACTTCTAACATTTAAAAGCAAATCTATTTTTTAAAGGCAAAATATAAAATTGCATTTTTGAAGAAATTAAATAAATAATTGTCTTTTTAAAGAAATTAAATAAATAATTGCCTTTTTAAAGATTAAAAAAGAAAAGCATTTTACAATATTAGTTAATACTTTAGCTATTGATTCATATGAAGTAAGCAATAGACAGGAATAGCATTATGATAGATAGGAAACACTTCAATAGATAATTGGGAATATGATAGCAAAGCATAATATTTCCTACTTGTAAGTGCAATTTGTTTGAAATTTACTTTGCTGACATTTGGCACATAATATAAGCCATGATGAGAAAGATTTGGCACAAATATTGTAGTTTAAAGGTTAATCAGAAATATTAATATGCAACAGCAAAGCTATTATAGTAGAGGTAATCATAATATTTATTTTCATTAAACTTATTTCTTAATATAGAGTACCAAAGCCATTATGTAAATTGGAACAGAATATGTAAATTGGTGAGAGTTTACTATATAATTTGGGGAATTAAGTTAAATGTTTTCTTAAAAATAGACTCTTAATTAAATTAAAACACTGCAATGAGGTTGTTTTATCCACTCAAATGAGTCTAATATGCAGGTTAAAAAGTAGTTGCAAAATATAGTGGAAATGACAAAAAAATAGGGACAATATGACTATATTAAAATTAAAATAAGTATTTATTCAGTATGAATGTGTGTATAAATAGCAATATAATATAGATTATGTAAGTAGAATTTTAATTTTTCATTATAATAAATTTTTTTAAAGATTTAGCTTTTTATAGATATTCTACAATTAATAGTTAAAGAAACAATTACTTTACAAAATACTAAAGAAAGATTAAAATTTAATTTAAAAATTAGAAAATTAACACAAATGAAATGCAATAAATTATAACAATAAAATTACTAACAATTTACTAAACTTATTAAAATCATTAGCAAGCTTTTTTCTTTAAAAACTTTAAAAGCTAAGGTATTCTAAATGAAAATTTTCCGAATTTGAAAAGCATTATGTAACTTAAAATAAAAAACCCTCAGAGTGTAAAAAAATATTTCAATTTTTAATGTAAAGGAAAACATGAACCAGAAAACGAAAACATATAAAAAAGAAGAGAAAAATTTAAACACTGCATTGATAATTTTATGTAGAATAAACTAATATTTTATATAATCTTGAATGATTTAGAGATTCGAGTAAATTTGTAAATGTTTTCTTTTAGAAAAATTTAAAAATATGTAAGTTTATAGAGTCAATAAAAAAAGTAGATTGAAAATCAAAGAATATACTACTTTCTTTTTTCAAATTTCAAATTATTAATAAACAAACTAAAACTATTTAAAGTTTTCTTCTGTAAACATAATTAAGCACAGCCGTTGGTTTTTTAAAAAAAATAAATGTTGCTGCTAAGCTTCTTAATTGATAAATTTCTCTTCATTCTTTTCACAAACTAGTTATAAAATTTACTTATTTATTGTGAAATTATGAACTTCTGGAATATTATCATAATGCAATAAAACAAAATAAATCTCTAATACCAAAGGAGGAAATACATATTAAAACATATACAATACAAACATACTTTCATAAGTGTAATATACAAAACTGAATCAGTTCAGAAATTAGATTGACATTCATTTAATGTGACTGTCAACGTATAAGACAATGGTGTTATACCTATTAGATACAGTCAATAATTTAGGGTCTTCAAATGTAGTTGCTGGTGTGACAATAAAAAATTTCACATTATTTTCATGAGCTAAGTGGCAACACTTGCCTTACAAGCAAATAGATAACAAAACAGCTGTCAGTCCATTTATTTCTAACCCACTTTCTAGAAACATTAACGTAGCTATGGAGCCGTATAAAAACATCTCTTGGAGCTAGAGACAACGTTCAGTGGTATTTAGAAATATTAACAAAGCTCAGAAAGGCACATTCAATGTGCAAGTAAACTCTCCCACACAGTTAACTTGTTAAATGACAATGCTAGATCATGTACGGCCAAAGCAATTAAGGGAATTCTGCAGAGATTTAACTGGATAATCTTAAGCCATCCACCTTATAGCCCAGATCTATCCTACTTCCACAACTTCAAAGAGCTAAAAAAATCATCAGTTTCAAACGAAATAATACATACAAACTGGTCTACCTGGTGTGATAATGTCACACTTGCCTAAATAATATTTGAGACAAAAATTTTCAATTCTGGTAAATTGCTCATTTGAATTGTTGCGCCTTATTTATAGACTGTATCTAATAAAAATATACAAGTAGCTGTCACAACAAAGAAATGAGGATTTGTTATAAATCTGGTCTGTAGCACAGGGCCGGTTCAACCTTTTCCGGCCTTCCTAGGTGAAAAAAATTTTCTGCCCTATATACATTATACACATATGTATACATACAATATATATACGATATACATTTATACAATATACATTACATATATAAAACATACAAGCAATTTGTAAACAGAAATTTATAAATCTCACTAATTGCTCTAAATATTAAAAATTAAATTGAGAAATTTTTATCGGCAAATGTAATTATACGATTGATTCTAACTAATAATTATTGTATTTTCCAATTGTATGCAAATTTTTTTCACAGAAAACAGTGCATATTAGAAATAAAACATTAAAAACATGGTGTGGAACAAGTTAAAAATATTAAAAATTTTTTTTTAAACAAATCAAAGTTGAATTTTTTGCCATTCCTTTCCGGTCTCCTAGGCGGTTGCTTAAGTTCGCCAAATGGTATGTCCAGCTCTGAAGCAGCAACAAATCCTGCCGTGTAGTATACAACATTTTATGTGCACAAAAAACATTACAAAATAAATAAATCATAAGTATTTAACAGATCTATAAGGGAGGGTGTCCTTCCAAAAAAATTATAACACAAAAATTGAAGATTAACCTATTTTGTTCAATATCCTCTGAAATTGCTGGCAGGTTGATTTTCTAAAACTAAATGAATAGCAGCGCGGATAGTTTATATCACATGAGAGTAATTACATCCCAGAAATACTTTGAAACACGAGGGCAAACATAATGTCTTTCAACATTGTATCACAGGCAAATAAGGGATTAAAGTAGCCAATGCCTCAGCCAGCTAAAAGGCAACAGCTACCAGTACTTTAGGCCACTAACATATTTCAAGTCACTCAGTGAAAACAGATGAGTCGTTTTGATAAATACAAGGAAAATCACAAATTGGAATAGGTCTTAATATAAACAACTTAAGTATTACAGAAATGTTTTAATGACTTTTTTTTTTGTCACTTTTGATTTTAATTTTAAAATGCTAAATGCTGTTGCAAAGATTCAAGCTTATATGGCAGAGAAGCAAGACCACTTAAGAGTACATATTTAAAAAATCCTCCGGCACCCTCCTTATAAAAGAGGAACAGTTTGTGTCATTTTGTAATGAAAGCATAAATGGCATGCATAGCAATGTATGAAAGAACTTTTTCTTGATTTTACCTGTGTAAATTTTCTGCAATAGTTGCAGTTTTTCTGTCTTATTCTATATTAAATCTTTTTTTTTTCAAAAAAAAAGTTTAATCACTCATAAATTTAAGATTGTTTAGAGGACAATTTCAGACACTCTTTCCACAATAAAAGATAACATAATTTGTAGGGTCAATTTAATAAGAGAAAACTTGTGTTTTGATTTTCAGATTTTTATGTTTGCAGATAAAATTTCCAAACTAGGAGATTATATATATAGAAAAAGTTTAGTTATATAATTGCTTTGGGTAATTCTGGTAACTATTTAAACAGAAAAATAATTTTAATAATAATCAGAATGTAAATTGTTCTTGTTATTTATCTTTTAAGCTTATGATTTTGGAGCGTAACTGCAGATATTATAATTACTTTTACACAATTTTATTTTACAATCTCAACAAAAGCAAAATAAGCGCAAAAAAAAAGCTGCCAACAGCTTAACAGCTAATAGCTGTCTAAATAAAACAGTCAAATTTTCTTTCGAGTTGTAAGAATAAGATGTTAGATTGGTAATATATAAAGATAAACACTAACCATTGGATTAAAAAAAAAGAAGCTAGATTTGTGATAGTATTTAAATAAAGTCCATGTCTTTAAAATTTAACTTCTCGACTTGCGCAACTAATTACTAGCTAGAGATTCAAGAGCTTTTACTGTAACACTAAAAATTCGGGCAATTAATTTAAAAAATATACATATGAAATTTGACATAGTTTTACGTGCCAGAAAAAAGTGTTGACAGTTTGGAAAATATAAGGTTTTGTTATTGATGCAGAATAAAAATTTATACCATAAAACTAGTGGATTCATTTTAAATTAATGGAACATTCAAATAAAGTTTGATTAAATCTTTTTAGATTTTATATTAAAAGTAATAAATCACAATTTTTGAAAGTTAAGATTATCTATGCTAAAAAATACAAATCTCAACAGCACATCGAACAGAACATTAACAAAATGAATTTAAGAAACTTAAAGCACTCTTCTCATGAAATGAAAACTTAAAATATGAAATGCAATGTTATAATTATAAAACTAATTATAATATTGCCACTTAGTAATGGCAGTGACTTTTTCAAAAAAATGAATCAGTGAAGAAATTTGTGGATGGCATATTCATTGAGTGACCTGATGATAAAAAAAAAAAGAAGCTAAATATGTGTTATCTATGAGATAATGCTGGCCTCTGGTAATACTGTAATGTCCTATTCCATAACGTCAATATAGTTGCCATGTCTGAATTAGGCGTCCCAAATAAGTAAGGCCGCATAACATCTTTACTATCAATCCATTTTTCAATGTCTATATTATTTACATCTAGTTTTTCAGTAAAGTCTAAGTGGGAGACTCCAACCAATTCAGCTAAAGTGCCCGTCACATGTACGTCATCCACCCAAAAGTATGGTATTTTGGAAGACTGGAGGTACAGCTTAAATACCACATCTGGACTTAGAATAATGCCCCACCCTGCACAATAAGACGGATAGTACCGACCAGGATACTCTTTGAAGCTCACACGCCATTTGCTGCGTTGGCTACGTTTTACGGGAGGAGTACGGTAGACGTAGCACATCATGATGTTGGCAACTCCCCCTGTTGGTCCAAAGGTTTCTTTGAGAAAATTAGTGAGTTGGAAAATATCGACAAAAATGTCGTCGTCCGCTTTGAAGATAAAACGAGCTTGTCGGCAGTAGTGAGTCACCCACTTCAGACCCATCACGTGCTTGTAAGTGAGGTTACGATAGCTATCGAAGAAGTTCCCTTGCACAATGTCATGATATAGATTGTTCTCTTGATTAATTCTACGCTGCATGAAGGGATCAGTAACTGAGCCCAGAAGAAAAACTACACGAATCAAGTCTTGAGGTAAATTATCTTCTCGTCCCCAGGTGTCTCTGCAACAAAAAAAAATTTAATTTTTAAAATAGTTTATTTCAAATCATTTTTAATAAGTTTCAGTAACAGTGCTGAGTATCACAGAATTAAATTGTGAGCAAAGAACTAGAAGTGGCAGATGGTTGAATAGAGTTCAATCGAAGGTCATGAGTAAACATCTTGGTTTGGCTTTCCAAAGAAAAACATTCTTGAATTTGGGAGAGAGCAGATAAACTACATTTACAAAAACCCAAATCTCTTTAGTGAACAAGGGGATGTTACACTGAGAAAGTGGGCAGAATTCAAAGTTATGTTCACTCCATTAACACTGACTCAGATAGTGGAAAAGTTAAACAATAAAAAAAGGTTGAGCAAGATTTCCGAATATGCTCCAGATAAGTGGTCGGAAAAACTACATTATTTTTGTAGTTTACTACTACTACTTTGGAATTGTAGTAACTACTTCATTACTTTAAAGAGACACACTTTACTGGAGAACATTATTTACACCTATGTTCAAAATGGTTTTGAATAAGAAATTGGTTTACATTAAATAAAAGGGAATAATTAAGAAATATTATTGCATGTTCAATGTTCACATGAGGCAGATTATTATTTCAAAACTTATTTTTCAAATTAGTTCATTGAATCCAATTTTTCATGCCGTTAAGTGAATTTATTTTAATAAATGATAGGAAATTATCAAATATTTTAAATTTTGTTTAAGTGTTTAATGCTCTTTTATTTCCTCTAAGAAATTAAGTACATAGGAAATTTGTTCCCTTCCTTTGAAACAACATCAATGTTTCAAGAGTGTGCATTCGTATGTGAAAGTGTGAGCCAAGTAATTAATTATCTATTTTTTGTCATGGCTAGTTTAAATATCAGTTATACATGATTTTAAATGAGATCTTTTCATGGATTGATTTTTAATAAATAAAAAAAAAAAATGAATTGCTTATTTACTGCTGACAAGAACTAAGGCTAATGTTCCCTAAAACTTTTTAATCGATTCAATCAGGAAGAAACTTTAAATGTGAGAAAAGATTTTATTTAAATGCAATGGCTTAAAAATAGTAACTCAAAACACTTATTATAATTATTACAACACATCATTTATCTTTCAAGCACTTTCTCAAAGTTTAATTTATGATATATTATAAAACACTCACAAAAATAAAAAGATGCCAGGATACTGAATATTGGAAGCATACTGTATTAAATAATGTATAATAGAAAAAAACGCAAAATAAAAAACGGACCACTCTGAATAACTTTTGATCTAGTGATCAAATTTTTATATTCTAAGACTCAAACTTAAAGGTTAGAAGGGGTAACATCAAATATGCTTTAAGCTACGATATCAGACACAAAAATGTACTTTCTCTAAATACACATACCTCTTTTTCAAATTGGATTGCGGCTGGGAAATTCTGGAGAATTCCTTCGGATTGCGGCTGGGAAATATGGTTCCAATAGTTTGGACAGGAGAGTGGTCCAAAGTTTGGACCCCTTAAGGTTAATTATATGTTTTATGTATTTCACCATTTCTCAAGAACTTATTAGGTGAATTAAAAAAATTTTGCACAGAATTATCTAAAGATGATTTCATGTAAAATATAACTTGTAGTAAGTGTTATTATATTTTATTGTTTGATTTAATGATAGTTGAAAAAATTTAAATTGCAAAGATAGGATTTTTTTTCCATAATTTTCAAAGGTAAAATATGAAATTTGTGCAAAATCGGTCGAACAGTTTCCTAAAAAATGGAATTTCAAAAAAGTCGTATTTTTAAAATTCGATTTCTCAAGAACTATTTGACTAATTTAACGCAAACTTTGCATTTTACCATGTAAAATTACATTCCTTAAGAAAATGTAAAAAATTGTATACCTTTCAATTCAAAAATTTTCAACTATTATTAAATAAAATTCTGTTGAAAAAAGTTATGTTTATTCAGAGAAAGTACGTTTTTGAGTCTGATATTGCAACTTAAAATATTGTCTCCACTAATTAAATTAGTATATTTGAGATCACTTTCTCAAACCTTTAAGATAATCTCAGAACGTGAAGATCCGATCATTAGATCAAAAGTTATTTGGGGCGGTCCGCTTATTTTTTGTACTCTGCGCATTAACAATAAACTATACTATAGGTATAACTATTAAAAATGGACAGCTACTTTCATAAAGTGTAATATTGTAATAAGATCTGACGCTATGACTAAACTGTTACTTTTCAATTATTGAAAGTGAGCTATGACTAAATTGTTACTTTTCAATTATTTCCAATTATGAATAATCACAATCTAGGATAAAATGATTAAATATGAAGTAATGACAAAAGAACAAAAATCATCTACATTGCCCCAAATGTAATCTAGATAAGCCGAACAAACAGTGTTAGAAACAAAGTCTGTCACAAAATTAATAGGATACAACAATGAAGCACTTTGGAGTCCATTTAAACTTGTCTGTTGAGGAGAGATTGAAAACATCAAAGACTGTTGTTTGATTGCAGAAAAAAAAAATTAATACTAAATAGTGTAATAAATTAATTCTAAGTAAAATGCAAATAAAATTTGGATAAAATTGAAATTTCTGGCCACTTTTTATAAATAATTTTATGAGTTAAAAGTGTATATAATTACTTATTTTAGTCTTATATTTATGTTATAAATAAATAACTGACCTTATAACCTGTCGATTTCTAAAATTGGCTGGAGCTGAATGTATGAATACAACTAGGAAAATGGAATTCGATCCTTCACATCGCTTGTTATTTATCAAAAACTTGAAGCCAGGTTTATCAACAAGAAACTTCAGATCGTCTGCTATCAATAAATACAAAAAATGAGAATTAAACATACAAATTTGAGTTAAATTTAGTAGTAAAGATTAAATATGAAAGAAATCAAGTAGCAATATATTTAAAATAAAAAATATATATTACATGAGAAACTTTATAGTACAGTACAGAACCCGTTATTCGAAAATCAGAAAACTGGAAAACCAAAAAACTGGAACGAAATTTGATTAGTTTTTCCGCCATTTTTTTTTAAAAAAAATATATTTTTTTCTCATAAGATTTTAGGATTTTTTGTTCTTTTTTGAAAGATGTTTACCTTACCATCATTTTGGAAATAATCATTAGTGTATTACTTCATTGTTTTTTCTTCTTTTTAAGATTATTTNTTTTTTTTTTAAAATTTTTTCCTTTTTTTTTTTTTTTTTAGTTGGGTTTAACTATAAAAAAAAAACGGCTTTTGGTAGCGATTCAGAAAACCGGAAAAATCAGTTATACGGAATATCGATAGTCCCGATCGTTCCGGATAATCGGTTCCCTACTGTAAAAGGAAAATGCATCAACTATAGAAAATTGATTTAAAAAAAACTGTAGGGAAAATAAAAACTAATTTACAATCATTATTCAAAGAAGTTGTTCACCAATAATTGACTAAAAAATTTTTACTTTGAGATTTATTAATTTTCTTTCTTTATTTAATTTTTAGAGGATTATTAATTTTAACATTTTATTATTAACTTTAACTATTTGAGTCTCAATTAATTGATCTTAAATTAAAATGTCTAAAGAAAAATGTATATTAACTTCAAAATATTTCACATTTGTTTGACAAAATTTTGATTAATACTTTTACATTTCGTTAAACTATTTTTCTAAATATTAAAAAAAAAAAAAAAAAAACTTTTCTGTCTCAAATTTTGTGCAATTTTTATACAATTTAAGTATGTAATAAAATTGCAAAACTGGGCGATATATCGTGATATATCGATTTTTTTAATATCACGATATTTTAAAGTGCTCCCATGGTAAATATCGGGCATATTCCGATATATATTCATACTAAAAACATCGAGAATATGATATATTCTCGATATCGAAATAATTATCGAAAAAGGTATTATTATGCAAGGAGAGATAGAGAAATATAAGAACGCGTTAGTTGAACCTTTATTACAGCTTTATTTGATTAAAACAACTCTCCTTTAATTTTCATTTTCGGTTTTCAACATCATCATCAAGAAAGGAAAGGAAGACAGTCGGATATCCAGTTTTAGTTTTTAATATAACGGAAGCGTAACCCCGAGCGAAGCATAATTCTAGCAGACAAAATATCGCAGACAAGAACAATATATCGTGGGTGTAGAAACCAAAATACTCAAACTTATATGTTTGGTAGGAAAAAAACAGGTTAGATAAAATTTTGTTCAGCACTTTTTGGAGCTCGCTAACAGGTTTTTATAACTTTCTAAATAAATGAGTTTCAACTTTCATCCAAAACTATAAAAAAATGACAGTATGCGCAATTTTTTTTTTTAAATTTTTCATTTTTATTTCAAAAAAATTTCAAAACGAAATTACTTTTACAATAAATGCATAATTAAACCTTATCCATTTCTTTCAAATGTTAAGCTTATTTTTTTTTTTTTTTTGAAAAAATAAATAATAAGCAAATAAAAAAAATTAAAAATTATAGGTTGGGAAATTCTTACGAAATAAAATTTGCAAATGACTATATAAATCAAGAGAAAGCCAAACTTTTTTTCATCATTGGAAAATAGTCTTAATTGACTTCCTCTTTTGAAAAAAAAAATATAAAAAAGAAAGTTACCAGTTTTTTAAAAGATTTATTTTGAGAGAATCAAAATTCTACGATGTTATTTTCAGTTGTAAATTCTCTCGGAGCTCCACTTTAAATTCATTTCCTAGATTTGGTAAAATATAATTAACACGACCGAAGCCAAATCTAACCGTATATGAGCTAGGGAAAGCGACATTAAAAAAAAGAAACGCCGCAAAACAAAATTTTTCTTATTTAATTTTTTCAAATTTTACATTATTCCAAAATTTACTCAGATAATTTATTTATCAGATAAACAATTAAATAAATTATTAAAAAGCAGCTTTGCTTCACTGTCATCAAATAATTCAATAACTTCAACTTGCAAAAGATTGTCGATATTATCTACTTGTGCCGAAAGTGGTAACCCAGTCTAGGATAACTATATTTTTTATACACATCACACAAATCTGAGAATGAGCAACATATAGCGAAACGGGCAAAATTAAAATGGTAAAAGAAAAAAAGAAAGAAAAAGTATTCTTAAAAAAAAAGGTGGAACGAGAAATTTACTTATAAAAACTAAGCCGTGGTCGCTAAGAGGACAGAGAGCTCGTCTCTTAATGAAGTGAAGTTCGAATCCCAGCGATGAGTGGTCGATACGAATTCCGCACCCGGCTTGCACCGACCACGGTGCTGACGTGAAATATCCTCAGTGGTAGACTGATCATGTTTAAGAGTCCTCTTGTCGTCAGACTAACCATGGGAGGTTTTCCTCTACATGTAATACAAATGAGGGTTAGTTCTCTCAAAAGTCTTCCACGAAGGCAAATTTCTCGAAATACTTGATCCAGGAGTTCCCTTGTCTCCTAGATTGTGTTTAAAATTACAAGGCTACGGAGTTAAACATTAGTAGTCGTAAACCCAAAATTATGTCGGCTGTTCAACGACGGTTGTAAAATAAAATATGTATTATAGAGCCGTAGTGGCTCAGGGGATAGAGCTTACGCCTTCCAATTAGATAAGCTGGGTTCGAATCCAGCGATGGCTGGTCAATGCGAATTCTGCACCAGATTCGCAGCGACCACAGTGCTGCCGTAAAATATAATCAGTGGTAGAAGGATCATCCAGGAAATTCCTTGTTTTTTGGATTGGGTTCAAAATTACAGGACTACGGAATTGAACATTGGTAGCTCGAAATTGCGTCGGCTGTTCATCGACGGTTATAAAATATAAAAGATTTACTTTTATTGATCTTACAAATGGCATTCCAAAAGAAAATTTAAATACTTAATAGCTGTCGATAAATATGCAATAGAATAGGGTAAGTATTCATTCATCGGCCCCTAATCGACCCTCTAGATCGGATCGAACGACCCCTGATGCTAAAAAAACCCTTGAATGTTTTTTCTGACAGTATTTTGTCTTGACCTCAATCTAGTTTAAGAAACAACATTTTTCCTTGACGTAATTTAAATGCTTCGGAGCATTTTTTCTTGCATGAGTTCAACACAGAAAAGTATTTTCAATATTGACACCATATTACATTTCCCACCATAGTTGGTTCCGAGAAAAAATAGAGTCAGATTAATGCTGTTTCTTTAAGGGGCGGAGGAACTTAAGTATTTAACCGTTTGAATTCCGAAGACAAAGAATATAGTACAACAAATTCAAACAATATTAAAAATATTGAGTTTTTACTTTTCTATATCATAATTTTTTATTTCATTCACACATCACAAACAAATTTAGTACTTGTTGTTGTTGTTGTTAATTTACGTCGCACTAGAGCTGCACAATGGGCTATTGGCGACGGTCTGGGAAACATCTCGGAGGATGATCCGAAGACATGCCATCACAATTTTGATCCTCTGCGGAGGGGATGGCACCCCCGCTTCGGTAGCCCGACGACCTGCGCGCGAAGTCGAGCACTTTACGGTAGAACAGTTTAACGAGGACCAATACCGCACACCCTCGGTCCCTACGCAGACTGATCCAAGTGGTCACCCACCCGCACACTGACCGTAGCCAGTGATGCTTGACTTCGGTGATCTGCTGGGAACCGTGTCTTAACGATCAGTCCACTGCGGGACTTTAGTACTTGACTAGAAAGAGATTCATACCTATGAATTTAACTGCCTGAAAAAAAAAAAAAAAAAAATTATTTTATAACTTTTATTGATTAAACAATGAAAAAACTTAATTATTCACTAATGATTAGTTCTCCATCTTTGGTTAATATATTCATAGCTGCTAATGTACTTACCTCTAAAAGAAACGGGATCGTTTAGGGTTCCAGAGGTCGCAAAAAAAAAATGGGACCGTTGCCAAAGTTATATCACAAATTTAAGAGGAAAGCTTAATTGAATTTAAAAGGCTCGAAAATAAGCACTTACCACGTGGTGAGTCAATCAAAAAAAGTGGCGACATAAATTAAATAATCAACCGATCACTTTTTCCTCAACGTTTTTTTTTTTTCCATTTAATGATAAAATTATTTAGTTAATTAAATTATTTAATGATAAAAATACATCAATGCAGAAAAACTCAGGGAAACAGAATTTTTATTAAAATGTCCAGATGTTAAAATGTCAAAATTTTGATCCTTCAGAATCCATCAATATGTGTTGGAAAGATTCATGTGGTAGGAGAAATTTTAAACAAATCAAATATTTCAAAGTTGTAATGCATACATTAAATGTATTTCGCCTCTCCAAATATTTTTAAATAAAGTTTCTTTAAGTCAGTATGTTTAACTAAATTTTGACACAAATTTTTTTTGTTGAATTAACTATTTATAGTCGTAAATTATTTCTAATATGAAATTATTTAAAAAAAATATAATTTAATCCTAGCAAAAAAAGTTTGCTAAAAGTGGCTAATAATTGAAAAGGACCTATCGATATCAGTTACCGAAGGTTTGAGGAGAAAGTAGCTACTAAATTACAAATCTACCGGCCACTAGGTACTAACTGGAATTTTAAATTTTCAGAAATAGAATTCAACTTCAGAACTTAGCTAAGTATTATTTTTTATTGAAGAAATAAGGATTAAGGCAAAAAATCAATTTTTTATAGTTTCTTTAAGGGTTTTTACGAAGGACACTTTCCCCCCTTTTTTTTTCCTGTTTACTGTTGTGAGTTTGCAACTGTTATACACTACTGTTAGCTCAAGCGTTAAGTCTTTCTTAAGCCAGCGTCATATACGCTAAAAATTACGTAAAATGGCAATATGAAGAAAAACCAGTTTTGAGGAAATAAAAAGCGTTTTGTAATCTAATTTGCGAAAAAAAATCTATATTAGATACACAATATACATGAATCAATTATTTATTTAGATAATTTTCTCATATATGTGGAAATATCTCGCTAAAATGGTTTTTTTTAAATGTTTAATAATTAATTAAATTAATGTTTCATATTAATTAATTACAAATATGAATTACATTTAATAATAAATGGAAAATCTTACCTGCCAGAAGAGACATGTTATATGGCGGCATATTGGCTTTCCACCAAGTGGCATTTGCTAACAGAAGCAAGGAGGGTGGCTCTCTGTTGAATGTTACATAAAGAAAATTCGATAGAGCGTACGTCACCAGAACTACGATGCAAATGGTTCGAAGACGACGATCACACGAACGTGCCATCACCATCTTACCACTTCACCTGCAAAAAGCAAGGAGGAAATATTTACTACTAATTTCACAATAAGTAATGAAATTCGTCAACAGATGGAGCTGCTGATAAGAAAAATTATATAGCAATGATTTCTGCTGCATGTCAGACCATTTCAAGAGTAATATTTTCGGGCATCAGTTAATTTGTCTACAGGCTGCTTCACACGTTGTTTCTGAAAATTGTAGTGTCCTTTTCAAAGCAATGTCCTGAAATTTTTATAAGTCAGTATAAGACATCTGTTCATGAACTTTTAAACTAATTCCAAAACTAGGCGAGAAGAAAGATTTGGTTTCCTAAGCAATGGAAGAAGTGTGAGTAGTAATGCACACACTTCTTTTATTTTGCTTTAATTGATTCTTTAAAATCATAGGTGATTTTTGGTTCTTCTAGTACCTAAACATAGTAAAATATGCCTTTTTAGTAAAACTTCGTGTTTATGGGCTAGCCAGGGTATACAGTCTTTGAAAAAACTATTATAATTTCTATGGATAATTTCTATTGATACCTCTTGATACCGTATCAAACTAACAGAGAGAGTTTTTATTTTTTGTCAAGTGTTAAACACGAAATGAAAATTCAAGAAATTTTTTTTTGCTCCCTACAACACTGTTTTCACTGAATATACATCTTATTATTTTTAACAAATCATCCACTTATTACTTCTGAAAATGAATTTTATAATTTTTTCCACAGCTTTTAAATGCTTTATAATAGTGGTTACCAACTGGCGGCCCGCATCCGGCCCGCGAAGCCTTTTTTTGTGGTCAGCGAACCAAAATATATTGGTTGTCATTTTTTTAGGACAATTTTCGGTGAAAATCAATATGGGTTTTAAATACTTTTAAGTTTTATGTCTTAACAATTTGATATCTGTTGCACATTAATTGTTTAATACATGGGTGCACATTTAAGTTATTGTAGCCAGAATTATTTAATATGCAATTAAATATTTTTAAAAATTTACTTCTTATTTTAATTTGTAATTTAATACTTTTGTTTTATACAACTTGATAAAAATCTGAGAGTAATATTTAATGTTCCTTCAAACATAAAAGAGTCCTATATAAAATTTCGATAAAGTTGCGGCCCGCCATCTTACTGAAATACGGCCCCCGGCCTCATATAAGTTGGAAACCCCTGCTTCATAAGATCTTACATCGAATAAAAGTATATTTACATTAACTAAAAATCTTTGTTGTATAACGAAACTAAAGAGTGGGGGGGGGGGCACTTAATATTTCTTCACAGTGTTTCTTAACCTTTTTGATATAATGGACCCCTTTTAAAAACTTTTAAGAAGTCACGGACCACCCCCCTGTGAAAAAAATAATTGTAAAAAACATAAATTATTAGAAAACATTTAATTTTATTATTTTAATAGTATACAAAATTTTTAAAATTAAAATTTTAAATGTGAAGGTTGCTGCTGCTTTTCCTTAATTAATAAATTGAATTGGAGGATGGTTTTCGACAAAGCAACGTGCATATCATGTTCAACATTCAATCGATTTGGATGTTATGTTTTTATTGTCACAAATGTGGAAAATCCCTCTTTGCAAAGATACACTGTAGCAAACGGAATTATAGCTGCCATAGCTCGCTTTACAAGAAATGGGTAGGCTATCAAACGTTTTAAAATTTAGGAGTAGTCAGCGGACCCCCAAAATATAACTCATGGACCCCTTAGGGGTTCATGAACCACAGGTTAAGAAACCGAGCTTTAAAAGAAGAAAATATTTAATCCGAGCAAAAATTAGAAATTCAGTTTTATTTTTATCATTTTAACTTTTAATCTTTATGTAAAACATACTTTTAATCATCTTATGTAATTAAAATAACTAATACAAAACAGTAAAACATTAGAATTAACTTTTCTCTATGATGTATGTTACAATCTGTCTGTCGAAAATATTCAAAATTTTTCGTTTTTGAAAATTAAATGAAATTTCAATTGTAATCGAGCAAAATGATTAAGTTTAAACATTAAAACAACGGTGTCGGAAACTAAATCTGCGTCAATATAATAAGAAAAAATTTGGACTCTTTTAATTGAATATTATTTAATTTTCAAATGACAATCTTTCTAATGATTGGGTATTGAGCTTTGGTGGCTAAGGTGATAGAACACTCTCCTCCCAATGAGGTGAACCAGGTTCGAATCGCAGCGATGGCTGCTCGATACGAATTCGCCCTCGGCTCGTACCGATCACAATGACGTAAAATACGGGATGGACAGTGGTAGATGGATCATGAGTTAAAGTCCCCTTGCCGTCAGACTAACCATGGGAGGTTTTCGTGGGTTTATTCCACATGCAATTCAAATGGGGTTCAGTTCCCTTAAAAAGTTCTCCATGAAGCCGAGTATGCCCCAATGCTTGATCCAGGAGTTTCTTTGTCTTCTGGATTAGGTTCAAAATTACAAGCCTACGGAGTTGAACATTGGTAGACGTAAACTTTAAATTGGTTCAGCTGTTCAACGACGGTTAAAAAATTATTGGGTATTGCAAATATATCATAATAATTGCGTAGCTAATTAAAAGCCCCTAAAAATAGTTGCATTGCAACAAAACATGTGATAAATAGTTCCATAACATATTTTTTTGCAATCTCATTAAAAAAAAAAAACTAATTTAACTACATTATAGAACAAAAATTTATCATATTTCTGCGATTTTTTTTTTCCTTTTTCAAATCCTGCGTTTTATTGCTAATCGAAATTTCAGCACTCACCGACAATAAAAGACAGAAATTGAAAAAGAAGAACAAAAATAATAATTATAAAAAATATTAATGAAATTGTCAGCTATCAATAGTAATGCTAGTTACGATTTACATTTATTTATTTTATTTTTTGAAATATTCACTATTTAAAACTCTACTTTTCTTCCATAAATTTTTTTTTTTAAACAAACAAACAAAAATTTTACAGAAAGATTCTTCCTAACATAGTAAATAATTCAAAACACAGCCGTACAAACTATCAATTTTACCGCAGCCATAAATTAAACATCGATTATCTTTTAATTCATTATTATTTCAAGTGTCTGTAAATATCGTATCCACTTAATGATTAAGTATTTCTGAAGAGAAAAAAATATTCGAAATTTTGTGTTTTGTTATAGGAATCGACAGAGAATTGAGGGTTCCGTGCTAGATGTACTGAAAATGCGGAAACGCCCAAAATCAGTTGCCAATGAACTTTGAGGAAAAACATTCTATTTTGCTTCTAATTATTCATAAAAATTAATGTTCCATACTAAAGGGGCGTAAAGGGATTAGGAATAATAATAACCGCAGTCGTCATTCATTGTTGCCTGAAAATAAAAATGAACAGGTTTCTAGAGTAAACTCATTTGTATTCCGATTTTACGAACGACAAGATTTATGATCGTCTGACTCTCGCAGATATCGGGGGAAAAAATACTAAAATTAGGATGGTGTTTTCTACACAAAGGTGCGCAGCAGGCTCTTTACCGCCAATATTTCCGCGTTACTGTATCTGGCGTATTTAGAGGTCATTTGGCTCAACGTGTTCCCTGTGTAAAGTGCATTATCTGTTCTAAAGGATAATTTGCAATGTAAACTTAGTCTCCTTATTGTAACTAAATACTAATACTAACATATGAACTGTGCACTGCTTGCAACAAGAATCAAGAGTAATGCGTTGTTGTTGTATGTCATCATGGCAAGAGGAATGCTCTTCTTGTTTTCCACTGGCGCCATCTATGGCCAAGAATTCGACTTCTGCCACACACATACGCCACAACCTGTTTTACAGGGAGGGCACATTCACACACCATCCATCCGCAGAAGTAATTTTGACCTGAACCAGAGCACGATCCAGTACCCCCAGAAATATTGATTTGTTATGGGAACTTGGAGGACTTTTTGATCCCAACATATTTAGCTTGCACCAGTCATCACTTCGGCCGGCGAGGATCGAACTCAAGATTTCTTGGACATGGCCCACGGTCCTACCCACCAGGTTATCCCGACCTACAAATAGTAATAAACAAGTCAAAAGAAGCCAAATCAAGACTTCTAAAAAGCGAATTACTTCTAAATACAGCAACCGCGCTGCCTTTTTTAACAATATATCTATCAATAACTTGAAACAAATTTTCACTCCAAACTCAACAGAATTACTTAACAACATTAATAGCTTACGGAATGCAGCAGATTTAAGATCAGAAATTTTGTTTTCTATTTATTTTGTTGCAAACTGAATTATCTGTTTGAAAATATTTATTCATTACATTGCATTCATTAAAATTTATTCACTATGTATATTTTTATTTAGGACATAGTTATAAAGCCACACTTCGGATGTCTATTTATATCCCAAGAAGGAACAAAACAGGGGTAAAATTTCTTAGCCTGAATCAGATTTCGGAGAGAATAACAAAAAAAATTAAACGCAAACTTTTGGAAAAGTTGGCCGAATTTGTCACACAAACCTTGAATAAGGCTGCTTGAGCCAGGTTGGAATCCTAGCAGTGGCTGTTCCCACAGTGCTGGCATAAAATATCCTCTGTGGTAGATGGATCATGGGTTAGAGTCTCCTTGCCGTCAGGTTAATCATGGGAGTACTTCGTGGTTTTAATCTCCATGTAACGCAAGTAAGGGTAAGTTCCATCAAAAAGTCCTCCTCGAAGGCAAATTTGTTCCAATACCTTATCCAGGAGTTCACGCGTTTTTTGGATTGAGTTTAAAATTACAATTCTAAGGAGTTGAACATTAATAGTCGTAAACCCTATTTCGGGTCGGCTTTTCAACAACGTTTATAAAATTAAATTTAGATAATATTCATTTAGCATGTATTAGACCTCAATAAATCCAATAAGTTTCCAAAAATTTGTGGTGATCTAGAGAATTAAATAACAATCAATAAATAATAACTCATTGATTATTATTAAAATTTCTAGATTCCAAGTAAAAAATTTTTTAAATAAGAAACATTTTTAATATGAATTTAGGAGCTCTGTTTA